TTTCATTTAGATGCTGAAAAAATTATAGATCTATTAAATAGTATATTTTTAGATATTTTATAAGTGATTTGCATACTCTCAATCTTTATTTCAAACTTCAAACATTTTAATAAATAAACTCTTTAATATATACTAGTACTTACCTATTGCAATTAAATTAACAAATACATATCAACTAATTTTTGGAATTGTACTAAAACAGATATTTTTTTAAATCTAAATAACTTTTTATATACTAGTTTATTTTGGATAAAACAACTATTAAAATGTTTATCTCAATAAGATAATTTTAATAAGCCTAAAATCATTAAAATTCAATTACTAGATCTTAAGATAGTTTAGGTTTTTTGCAGAGATGATGCATCTTAGAATAAGGACAATTGGTTATTTTACAAAAAATACTCAAAATTAGAATTGCTAAAAATTAAATTTTTAAAAGTACTAATAAAGTACTAATTTTTGTCAAATTTTATATTTTTTTAGCATTTGTTATTATAATTTTAGTATAAGAAAATATTTGCAAATTATTATAATAATAAAATATTAATATTTACAATATATTAGCAAAATATTAATAATAATAAAAGTCTAAAAATTACTAATAATTTAGGTTATTAATAGTGCTAATAATACAATAATTTTGTAATAATTTAGTTATATTACTAATTTAATACTAATAAAGTACTTTATTTTGTTTATATTTTGCTAATTTTTTCAAAATTTAAATTTTAAAATTTTTGTAAAATAGACATAGATCTAACCAATTGTTTCTATTCTAGAATACATTATCTCTACAAAAAACTTAAATTATCTCAAGATATAATAATTAGATTTTAATAATTTTAAGCTTGTTAAAATTATCTCATTGAGATGAACATTTTAGTAATTGTTTTATCCAAAATGAACTAGTATATAAAAAGTTATTTAGATATAAAAAAATATCAAATTATATCTGTTTTAGTATAATTCCAAAAATTAGTTGATATGATAGATAATTGTTGAACATAATCAAAGTAATATGTAATATTTTAATTCAGAATCTAATTATATTACAAATATGTATACTGTATATAATATAGAGTATTCTTATTTAAAAGAACTCATTTTTACATTTTTCAAAAAATGAGTTTTTATTAGATTCATATAAATTTTGACATGATCGATATTTTTTAATTATAAATAAAAGTTGATTTGTATAATAAAAAATCAAAATAATATAAAAGAAATATTTAATGAGTATTCCAAAGGCAAACACATCATGAGATTACCTGATAGTTATCTGTTATCTTTAACTAATCAAAATCATGAAATTAAATTAATTTGAATTAGTCTGAAAATCATAACAAATAATTAAACTCAATTATTTCAAAATAAGACAAATATAAAAATAGGTACTTTTAAAAGAAAACACTCTATATATTTAAAATATTTCTAATTAACATAACGATAACATTTTAAAATAATATTGTTTTTAAGTTAATTTCTAAATTAAAAATTATATTATCATTATAAATTGAGTTAGAAAAATGAAGTAACTGTCGGAAAAATAAATATTAATAATAAAATCTAAATTTAGGATAATCAAGTTTAGTTTCAGGTTATTTAACGAATTTATGATTAGTTTGATTGGTCAATAGCTGATTATAACAAAGATTCCTGTATAACTCTTAATTGTAACCCGATTAACTTGTAACACCTAATATGAAAATTAGCTTAATCTTCATCTCATGGTGCGATATTTTTTGAGATAGCGTATAACCTAAAATTTTATCTTTACGCACTTAGTTTTATTTACAATTTTAAATTTCCTTTTACTTATATTAAAATTAATTAGAATAAAGACTTATTTAAATATATAATTTATTTTTTTGATATGATATAATAAATTGCAAATTTATTATTTTACGTAATTTTATAGATTCAATTCTGATAGATATAAATATATTTATATAATTCATTATGAAAAGATACTAAAGTCTTAGATAATTAGTAAGAATCTTTTAACACTATTAGCCATTCTTTGTTATAATATTGAATATTATTTAATTACAAAAAAAAAAGGGATCAAATTTTTAAACAGACAAATTTGTAAGGTGATATAAAATTTATAGAATAAATGTATATATCGCACCATGCTACACACTTATATCTCGCACACCTATAGTAAATCATAATCCAGGTGTAAATTTTGAGCTATTGGAGATTTCATTAAAAAAGTGGGGTTTTCGCCATTTTTTTACGTTACACCTGATCTTGAAATTTGATTGGTGGGCGACAAATAAGAGTATCGCATGGTGCAAAATTAGCCAATTAAAATTAAGCGCGATAAATAAGAGAATCGCATCTAGATTAATCCAAATTTATTAATTATAATTTATTTATCGATATAACGATAATTTTTTATTATAACGATAAAAAATATTTACGTATATACTAATTAATTTGGCAATTAATGGAAAAATAAAAGATTATGTAGGGGTCAATGCCAATTTGAATACGAAAGAATTGCTTTATATGTCAATATGATATTAATAGTTTTAGTTTTATAATATATATTTAAAAAAAACAAAAGGTATTGGGCATTACGTGATGATGTATTTAATAATAATTTAAGAGTATCCTAATTAATTTATAGAGATTAAGAATTTCTATCATACAAATACATATTTTTAATTGCTTATTTCCTTTATATTAATTAAAAAACAAGTTATTTACAGGATGCACTTACATTTGTTTTTTTACAAAACTGTAACCGGATGTTATGACTGAACCTCTAGGTAATATGAGGAAAAAAAAAAGGATCTAAACATCATCCCTACATACATACATTAAATACTTTTTAATAAATGTTGAAGTAATAATTTCAGATTCAAAAACCATTTTTTTGTTTTTAATCAATCGTACTTTGAAAATCCATAATAATTTATAAATGTCGTCGTTTAAAAGTAATAAATCTTCAGAGCCCCAAATAATTATTGCAACACCTGAAGACCACCTAAATGTATTATGTCAAAAAGTTCAAGCTCTATCTCGGAATCCTGATTTTTATATAAAATGCGGTCTTAAAGAGCTTGAAGTACTCAATGACTGGAGTGTTACGCAAGCACAAATGAAAAATGATGGGGGAAAGTCTATAGCAAGATGGAATCCACGTACCGACTGGCCTTCTACTTTAGTTACTGGTGCCTATGATTTTGTCCTTCCAGTAATGAAACAACCATCCTACCAAGGAAGTAATACATGGAAAGTAAATTTAGAAGATATTGTATTAATGGCATCAACAAATGATGATCCTAGTGTGATTAATGAAGTGAGCTTGGACGAATTTTTAGACAACATTTGCGATTTCACAGATCTTCCTTCCCCATCATCAAAATTTTCAAATAATGGATTGATTGATGATTATGCAAATGTTGATGCCCAAGTCACAATTTTACCATCACCATTAATCGATGCAGAAGCTAATTATTCATTCGCAATTTATCCAAATTTTGCTTGTTCAAGCATTCTCGCAATAATCTCTACACAAACTGATACCACTGTACATATAGTATGCAAATCACTTATAAAATATCTAAAAATATACTATTTAATAGATCTATAATTTTTTCAGCATCTAAATGAAA